AAAAATGTAGCAAACCCATAATTGTTATTTAAAAAAAAAAAAAAAAAAAAAAAAAAAAAAAAAAAAAAAAAAAAAAAAAAGAGGGGTATACTTAGTCGAGGGGGACATAGAATAGGCAATTCAGGACATCTGTGCTGGGTACTCAGCCAATGAGGGAAAGGAAGAGTGAGATGTGGGCGGGAAATTAGGATAAAAAGGGGCTGCGACCCCTAACAATTTGAGAGACCCCACAAGAAATGCCCTATGGCCTCTCCCTTTATTTCAATAGAGTTACACAACTCCTCTGTCCCCTTTTTGGGCATAAACCTCCGGCGCTGTGAATTTTTCCACTCCAAGCTTCGCAGGTCGACCTTCACCACGCTGTTAGCCCAACCCAGAGCCGCAGGGCCCATCCTTAATTCCAGCAGGAAGCCGAAATCTTGRGAGTCACCTTCAGGTGAGTGAAGGAGGCGACTGTGGCGCTGCGCAGCAGAGCTGGGACAGCCCCGGGCCAGCCCCAGGAGCGGAGCAGAGCCGGAGCGGAGCCAGGCCCGAGCCTCCCCCGAGCCCGGTGCCACTGCCAGCGCCAGCCGGGGGGCACCGACCGACAASCACCGGCTGTGCCCGCTCGTCCTGCGGTAAGCACGGACGGACGGGAGGAAGGAGGGCCGGCAGAAGGAGGGGAGGAGCCGGCGGAGCTCCGCCGGGAGTTGGGAATCGGGCTGCGGGCGTGGGGAGCGCGGTTGGAGCGGGCGGAGCTGAGCTCGGGCCGGAGCGGTCTCTGCGGGCAGCGAGCCGGCCTCAACATCCACTACCGTATGTGTATCTATGTACACACATATATATACATACATTTGTGTTTTTAAAACAGAAAACTAAAGCTTTTTTTTTCCCCTTCTCCCCCCTCCTTTCTTGAACACTTCCCCAAGTGCCGGTGGGAGTTAAAGAGGTCAACAGCATTTTTTTTTTTTTTTTCAGTCCATCTGAATTTCACTGCGTAACTTACTCATACTTCTCCACGGGGTTAGCAGGATATTTCCCCCTTGTGCAACACCTACTGTTTGGTTTTATAAACTCTCCGTGATGTTTGTTTTTTTTTCTTAAGCTTTGCAGCCACACAAGCTACGTGTACAGTTCATTTCTCAGGCGTGATTTGCTGCTGAAGTCTAACTCCACTGTGGGATTCTACGAGTCAATTGCCTTCGCGCTTTTAAYGCCAGAAATTTAGCATATCTACGATAACCTAATTAGCATTCGGATTATCTAAAAGATATCTGAGAAGTTCGGAGGTGTCTCAGAGGGGCACTGCGGACACAATAAGTGGTAGTCCTGTCAAAGGGGAAATTGAGCTTGTGCATTTTAAAATAATTTAATGAGATAAATTGATTTCATAGCCGTGATGATTTCTAAAGACTTAATTCATACAATGTTTCAGTTGCTACTGCTGCACCTGGAGCAGATGAAATTGGCCGGRTGAGGCTGTTAAACYCCCACCTGCCTGCCCTGGCCATAGYAGGTGCCACACAACAGCTTCAATCTCATCAGTTAAMTTCACATCTGTATCTTTTCCCACCACATTGTTGGTTTAGTACAATTACCACTCAAATAATTGTGTGAATGTCCCTCTGTTCACCAAGCACYGTGCATTTTTGTGAACAATATCCAGAAGAAACTAAGAAATTARTCATGTGGGCTCACAGAGTATAATGGAGAAATTCAGAACACATAAGAAATGTCATCCAGTCCAGTGATCTGTCTCAGGCAGTGGAGAGTGGAGATGTGATTTAGGGAAACTGGCTTATCCCTTAGCTTCTCACTGGTGTTCCTGCCACCAGCAATGGCTTTCTCAGGGACACCATATATGTTTGAATCCCCTCAAGAGCACATTTGCCTGTTGTAAAATTTMTTGTTGCTTCCACTGGCTGCCCTCTAGATCTAACGTTGCAGAGAGGTTTTGTGTTCAATTTAACTGCTCCCTTCATCATTCTGTGAAACTCAGCTGTAGCCTCCTCCAAGCTTCTTTTCTCTAAACAGTCCCAGACATTTCTTTTGCCTCCCCTGAATAGTGGTAGCTCCATTCACTTGGCCTTTTGAACTGCCCTGGCAGAGATCAAGAATTTCTGTAGTGCTAAAGCAATATCCTGTGTGATGGGCTCAGTACTTTTCCTCACAATGGCCAACATTTTGTTGGCTTTTTTGTCTGCCACCAAAAAAAAGGAGAGGTGAAAAGTTCTATAGCTGGTAAGAATATATGGTTATTAATGTATATTTTAATTGTCAGAACAATTTACAAACATGTGAATGATAGTTCCCATGTGGCTGCAGTTGTAATTTCAGTGTAGTTGTTTCAGAATCTCACTTCTTTTTGTGTGGATAGATAGAAAATCCTGCATAGGTGAGATGCTCTTAAACAGAAAGAAAAATATTTTAGACAATAGACAGGGCATATACATCAGTGTATGAATTCTGAATTCTTTGAGTATACAAGATGAAGCAAGTAGGATTCTAAGGTGATCACTAAATTGAAAAAAAAAAAAGATAAGCAATGTGAACTCTTGAGCCTAGGACCCATTTACTTAAACTGCTTCATTGCTATGCAAAATCATCAGGCTTATTTGGAAAATTAACTTACTAGTGCAAGAAATGCACATAATGCTTTGCATTTTGATGGCTTAAAAATTTAACTGCGAATAGCCTTCTGACGACTGATTATGCTACACTTTGGGTCACCTGGGTGCTCCTGAATGGGTGCAGGAGAGGATGTTTCAAAGAGYAGCTTTATATATTCATTATTGCCCTCAGCTGTTGAGCTGGGATTGTTGCCTCTGGCAGTAACTTGTAGATGAAATTTCAGAGGAAAGTGAGGCCTCCTGCACTTAACAAATTGAGCAGTTCTCTATATTGCAGAATTCCTTCTTGCTTCCTTGGAGGTGGTCAGGTAAGCCTTGACACATAGAAATACAGCCTTCTTAGTAATGTTTTTTTGTGNTTTTTTTTTTTTTTTTTTTTTTTTTTTTTTTTTAGTGCTTTGCTAGGAGGCCTGTTTACTATAAATGTAGAGCCAGTGAGGTATTTATGATGGTAAATAGTTATCCCTTCTTTGAAACCCAAAAGTAAGCTGTGGTATATGGGATGCTGATATTTTTCCTTTGGTCTTGCTGTATATTCTAGAAATCCTGCCTTATGCCCTGGTTGATATTTATGATTATTTTGCATCTGAGTGTTCTGCTRTAGTAGTTCTAGGTGTTTCATTAGCTTGCTGCCTTTTAAAACCAGCTTTATAAGAGCAGATTTTAGTGTTTGAAGATGCTTTCTTTACCCACTTAAATTTATYTCCCATTTCTGTGCAAGCTCTATTTCTAAGATCTGCCTTAGGATATAGTAGGTCTGTTTTGCTAGTTGTAAGAAAATTACAAAGACGTTGATAGACAAAAAATCACTCTGAATAGCTTCTCAACAGGAACTCTTGAAATTCTAGCAAGAGTTTGTTTTGACAGACAAGTTGGTGCTTGCACTAAATCAGGAGTTTGTTTAAAAATAGGCACCCGGACTTGCAGTTCTGCAGGAATCCTCTATTTCTGTGGATCAATATATTGTTCATTGTGGATGACTGATTTGTTAATGCAAACAGAAGGCTGGTTTGGCTTACAATGGTTTAGATAAGTGTAGAAGAAAAAGGAGTTTGTTTATTTATTAGTGTGATATGGGCACAAAGAATAGGAAGGGAGTTGTCAGTGATCACTAGGGATTATTGGAGAATTCTAAAGATGGTACTGCAGTAACTACACAACACCAGGAGATGATTGTGTTCTCTTGAGCTTGTGGAAATTGTGCATTTAGTAAATGCACAAATAGGGGTGTTAAAAATACGGGAATTTACTGTTGATGTGCATGAATAGTGGTTTCTGTATTCCATGTTGCCAAGTTGTTGTATTCTTTGTTGCTGTTCTGGCAATAGGCAGCCTGTAAGCATGATTATTTTGCAAGATGATTAAGAATATTAATAAAATATAATATTCTTAATATTAGGAATGCTAAGAAAAATAGATAGGATATTACCATGGGAGTGTCTCTGTGGATAATTTATTGGCTGGACTGTGGGACCAGACACTTCTGTGCTCCATTGTGTAATTCCAGTTACAAACTTGCATCAACTCATAGGCTTAAAAAATGAGTTGTTGGCTTAAATTCACAGGCACTGTTCTGTGTGTGTGGAGAACATAATATTTTAAAACTTATGCTTCAAATAATCCTGCTCAAATTTTTCACAGTTCAAAATTGTTGAAAACAATGCCATATTCATTGTTAACTGGAGATTTAATATTTGCGTGTATTTCAGACTACGTGAGTCCTGTGCTCAATTTATTATTCATATTTTTTGTGCCTCCTCCCTGCGTATTTTGTGGCGAATTTTCTTTAGTGCCTTTCAACTGCAGATTTTCTGTAGCAGTAGAGCAGAAAGAGTTGGGATTGGAAACTGAAAACAGAAAATGGGGTTTATTCAGAAGGAAAGACTCATTATAAGCAAATTCAACTAAAAGTCATATTTAGGTTGATTTTAGAGATTTAACTGATGAAGGGGTTTTGTTGGTTCTTCTGTGGAGGKGAATTTCCCCACTGATACATCCTGAAGTAACAGAATGGCAAAGTGAAGTGTTGTGCTTTGCTTTGAAGGATTATAACCTCAGGAGAGGAAGGACATTTCTGCTGAGGCTGCTTTCTCAGGTAGCCACCAGGGCATTGRAATTTGGGCCACAGACATACTGCACTTTTCTGAGAGGTAACTTGTTCACAGATAACTTTAGTTTTGCTGGAAAAGTTACTGTCTGAACAAAAATGAAGAAGAAATACTAAGTACCCACAAATAAAGCAGATCTATCTTAAGAAAAGAACCTGGTGCATTGTTAAATGAAGTTTTGTTGTGCTTTGAGCCATCTTCAAAGTCAGTGAAAAAGCCCAGATGGTTTTTATTGTGTTGTATAAATTGCTGCTGTAGCGAATACTTTTAGTGAGCTTGGAGGTGATTTGATYTTGGGGTTTCTTTGAAGCTGCAGTGGCACTTCCATTCTCTGACTAAAAGTCTGGTGTGGGGATTGGAAGGTGCAATTTCACAGTTCTGATATGCTGCATCTGATAGGAAATCATGTGTTGTGTTAATGGCTTTCAGTGAAAGTCAAATCACTGGAATTTAATAATAATATGCCTCACTGTGTCATCCTGAAAAAGCTGTTTTAGAGGGTCACAGCATCATATTGGGCTATGTTTAATATATATGTGCCCCTTGCAAAATTCTTCTTKGTTGGAGTAACTTTTTGATGAGTAAATAAAATACTGTCCCAGACTGTCCATTTTTCCTCACCCAGATACATAAGTTCATTATTAAAGTGAAGGTGGAGATATACAGGTAAATATTTATCACCTTTGTGGAGGATTGGTTTTGGTGACAGCACATGCTGRCAACTGACTGACTGGAATGACTTCTGTTATGGCAGCAGCTCTTACCATTTACAGCATGAGAAAATCTGATATCCAGTCATATTTTTAAGGGATATTTGTGTGCTGTGGTTTGCTAGGATTTGGGTCAGCTAGTAAATATAATTTTTATTTTCTGACTTTGAAAATCTGTCTCGCACCTATCATATCCTTCRTGTYACTTGGTGTAACTTAGCTGCACTCTGTGTATCTACATGAATTTATATAAGCTGCTGATGTGGCCCAGTGAAAGAATGGGCAGCTTTGAATTTGTGCAAATCTTAATTTCATCTAAATTAATCTAGATTCAGCCTCACAGGAGGAGATAAYGGTTTAATCCTGTGCTAGGATTTGGTTTATTTTTGCTTTTTTTGCAGTAATTTTCCCTCAAGGGTGAGTGCCTCATAGCGTGCACATATCAGTGTCTTGTCCTCCAGTTTACTAATTTAACAGCTCATGAATCAGACTGTGCTGCTCAGCATTCCATTTTGCTGCTGATAATTAATCAGATATGGCTCTAATTACYGACTTTCAGCAGAACTTCACTGTGGTCATCTGTAACATCATCTGTTATTGACATATTGTAGGAATATAGGCAACCAAAGAGGAAYTTGCAGGAATTTTCTAATAAAAATTATAACGATTTGTCCATCATTAAGGCTTTTTTATATAGCTTAAATGTGGCCTCCTCATCTGAGGGTAAYTGCCCTTTTCTGTATTGCCACAGGATGTCCCTGTTGTTGGAAGCTTCCCAAACTGCAGGCACTCAGGAGGGAGGACACTGGCATTTCTAGGAATGCACTGCTTGGTCAGGGCTGTGTCTGAAATTTCCTCCAATGTTGATTTCTCAAAAGAGCTCAGCTGAAAAAGCAGTTAACTCTCTTCTTTTTTTCTGTTATTTTGAGTGGTGTTTTGTTAAAATCCCTTAGGTAGTTAATACCAGCTGAGATAGCAGCTGAATCAGAAAGTTTTGCTTGAAATATTAAAAGTTGTCCTAGGCCTGTTGATTAGGTTTAGGTACGCTACATTTGGGATAGTAAAAATAAAAACACTGAATTTTTTTAAAACATGCATAGATATTATATAGCTAGAGATRTATAGGGTGTGTGAGGGAGTTTATATATGTTTGTATATATATATATATATATATGAAGCCCTTTTTCATTACAAGTTTATTTACTATTAGTACACTATTGGTTTGTTGTTGTGGCTCTTTTTTTTCCTGTTTTTGTTGTTATTGGTTTGATTTTTGAGTTTCCATTATCAGCAATGTCCAGTTGTTGTTAAAAATTACTGGTTAAAGTCTTTCCCTGGAGTTTCCAGGGTGTAAATGAGTAATTCCTGCAATCAAACCATCCAACACCCTTGTTTCAGGTGAGGAATAGACTATAGAATTGAAAGCAAATCAGAATAAATAATTCAGGTGAGATGGCAAATAAAAGAACAGCTTTGGAAATATAAACTGCACTTCATCAGAGCAGAAGAGAGCACAGGAGAGCCATGAACCAGCAGATGAGAGAGCTCCCATTCAGATGTTAATGTTTTGCTCAGTTTCACAGCAGAGACCTTTCCCTGTACAATGAAGATACATTTACAGAATTGCTGATACTGAACAAAAGAATATTTTTGTTTTTTTTTTCTTTCTGAATAAAGAACCTGTAGATTTTGGATAGAGTTTTTCCCTAGGAGTTTWTGTGTCTACCCTGGGACAGTAAACCTGAGGAGAAAACAGTGTGCTGTGAAAGGAGCTTCCTCCAGCTGCTCCCATCACGGACCATTAAACTGTTGCTGACTTTCAATGACTCTACAGCCAGCAAGGCTTTTCTTCCCAGTTTKTCCCCCTAGTATGATGGAAGATACGAGAAATGAGGAAAGTACATTATAAAACAATCATTATAGTACTAGATTCTGAAGGTACWGGTAGCACTTAATGTTTTAAAAAATTTTCTCTGTTAAAGTTTTYGAACTACTAACTTGTCACAAATGATAATATTAACACTTGTTGCTTGGTGCACTCAGTTCTGTTCCATKGCACAGTCCCAATCTTCAGGTTGTAAAACCTCTGTAAATGAATTGATAGAGTTGGCAGCTATAAACATCAACGTGACATTGATTTAACCATTATTATTAAATTTTTCTAAGTCAGAGAAGGTGGAGGGGAAGGGACTGTAAGAACTGYGAACAGTGAGAGGTAAACTCTGAGCTACAGGGCTTTGGTACAATGCAGGTGGAGAATGAGATCTGGCTAATGAGAGCACACAATCTGTGCTGGGTTTGGTCTGTTATCCCAAACTGGCTGCTGGAGTTTGGGATGCGAGTATCTTCTGCTGGATGACTGTTCCATTTGGTGGAGAGGTAAGGGTGGAGAGTAGGGAATGTATGAAACACAGCTGGGAGCATTGCAGAGATTTCAAATCCTAAGAAAAGATATTGAATTTGAAGACATGTCTGTGGGACACAATCGTTTTTATCCTGCCAGTTAAATTCTGGATTAGTTGTAAAAAGAGTTATGCAAATAAGTAGCTCCAAGCACAGTGGATTTAAACTGATTCCTGCTTCATATTTAGTAGATGACTGATAGCTTAAGTAAATTATATAAAGGTTGTTTGTAAACACCCCTGCAAGGCTCCTACCACTGCTCCCCACCCATTCACCCATTGTTAATGGCCCTGGGGTGTTCCTGAGACAGCTGTACTTCCTTCTGCCTGYTGTTCCCTGTTGTGATCCACTATCCAATGCTCTGCAGTCCAACAAAGGAGCTACACAGGCCAATGCTAATAATCTGGCTGGAAGTATCTGCCAGCTGGCTGACCCCCAGCTGCTGCCTGCCCAGCTCTGAGCAAGTCAGACCTGTAGGATTGGTTTTGTCACATGTTACAAAAAAAAAAAAAAAAAAACCTCTGTTTTTGCACTAGGCCTACAGGTTCTAAAGTTATCAACGAATAGAAAGACAGAACAAAACCTTGTTCTCCTATAAAAGCAGGTTTTGAGTGAAAAAAAACATGTGAAAAATGTTTTTAATGCCAGTGASAATATGAAGTGCATTCTGGCCATGTCTGTGTGTGGGGAAACAGAARGTTTGTGTTTTAATATCCAAGATGAGCTGTGTTTCTGAGCAGGCAGTTGCTGAATGCTGTGACAGGGCTGTTTGGATACTCCAGTGGTGCTYCAGCAATACCCAGTTCTGAAAGCAGTGCTCCTTTTAGTGCAGGAACAATCGGCTCTTTCTCAAGTTTGTCTTTCCTTTTAATTTTTTTTTTTTTTGTTCTTCAGGGAGGATTTGTAATGTTTTGCTGTCAGGATGAAGAGCAGGATCCCTGTCATCCTTCTGGCCTGTGGCTCCTTTAACCCCACCACCAACATGCACATGCGTTTATTTGAGCTGGCCAGAGACCACCTGCACCAAACAGGTCAGTGAGGGCTTGTGAGCATCACACACACAGGGAATGGGAAAAGCAAGAAGGGTTTTTAATACTCACTTAGATAAGCTTTTGCTTTACTAGCTTAATTTCACTGTTCTTTACTGGTATTAAAACAAGGTTTTCATAGGATATTCAATGTAGAAATTCTGACATTACTTCTTCCTTTGGCTGAGTGTATAAACAGGTATAATGAGTGTTCATGTAAAYAGAGGAGAAATTTTATCAGCTGTTTTAGGATTCTATTTATGGCACTGGCTGAGCCTTGTGAAAGGGTATGGTTAATAATTTTGAAATTTAGGAAAATCATTTATATTGTAATTTCATGTTTTTATGATACAATGTGTTACAATATGAAGAAGGGTTCCAGGTAGCAGTTTTGACAGCTGGAGGAAACCMGAGAAAAGATGAAATGCTAATTATTCATTATCTATCTTCACTAAGAGGCACTTTATCTATCCTTGAAAAAGATCAGAAAAGTGAGATGTCATCGGGCTAGAATGTTTTGGCAACAAAGGAGAAAGGTGGGTAACATCAGGAATTTAAGCAAGAATCAGAAATGCTGCTGGAAAGCCTTGAACTCTAAGCTTGATCAGCTCCTTAGCTGCTCAGGGGTTTATATTTTTTTTTCCATCTGGCAGCTAAAATATGCACTTCTGTTTCTGGAAGTGGTTGGGAGGGAATCATTGTTTATTAGAATCTGACAGAGAAGTTCCTAGGGATGTGGTTCAGTAGGAACCTGAACAGCAAATAGTAGAAGGAATTTGGCTGTCAAATTGAGCAGGGCAGAGAACCTGGTAACGCTCTGATACAATTGTGCAGTAAAAGCAGCTGCTACACACTCAGAATATACAGTGAGAATACTTTGATTGGCATGAGGAAGAATCACAGAGCTGGCTCTGAGGGCAGCCTCCACAAGTCTCTATTGGCCTATTACTAAAATAATTTGTKGCACCTGCAGGGCTGGAAATAAAGGGTTAAAAAAGATATTTTAATTGACTTGTCTCACTGTCATTTTATAACTGATTCTGCTGCCCAGATATGCAAGGAGTAGAAAGGTACTATGAGACCATTTGGTAATTCTGTTTAAGTCCTAAACTATAGTCCAGTAACATTTCTTTACCTTGAGAGAAGGCTTGAAGTGGGAAATGAATTATTACTGTCTGAATCAATTTGGTGTCTCGTCTGCTCCAGGGTCAGTGTAACAAGACTCCAACCCTTACTCAGGGCAGTTTGCTTAAAGTCTAGTGAAAATCATATTAAAAATGAAATTTTGAAAAGTTGAAATGGAAATTGTGCATTATATTACATTAATGTCAATGCTTAGTTCTGGATAGGGTGTGATTTGCCTTTTGGTTCTTATTTTAATTTGTGAACCTTTACAAGTACAAGTGCTTTATGCATTAAAGAATCTTTCTTTGGTGTCTGGGTTGCCTACAGCGCTGTCTTTGCACTTTGTGAATGTTGACCCAGCATATCTGCAGAGCAAGAATCCTCAGTTTGCTTGAGGAAGCTTTAGCCATCCCAAGCAGAGGTGGCTTTATCTGAGGTAACTCCCAGGGCAGATCTATGTTTGTATGGATGGATACACAAATCTCATATATGGCCCTTCCTGCAAGTGAAGATAGTTTCTCAAGCAGAAGGGGTTGGCAGCGTGCTATAAAAATGATTGATTCTGGATGCCTGTTTTATAGCAGAACCATTCCTACTGAGGAAATTAATTGGTCATTCTTTCATGATTTTAACCCTGTTTCCACTTCTGAGGTTACACAGGGAAGGAGAGGAGAAATTAGGGCATATTTGCTGAGAAGAAGCAGCTTCAGATTGGGAGCTGCTGGTGGGGCTGGAGAACAATGGTTTTACAAGACTAAAGCTTGTGTGACTTGAGGTAGCATTTGGTGATTCCCTTGTCAGAGAATACAGTGCACTTTGGAGCTGACATCCACACTGGATGTCTGAAACGAGGGAGGAATTAATTAGTGTGAGGGGGGATGTTTCCTAGGCTGGGGCAATTGCTCCATTCTGCTGCTGTTTCAGGGGCTCTACTGCACCACAGATCAGGCTGAAATGATGAGTTGTGCAATAGCTTGGCYRGGGCTCACTCCAGTCACCAACCCKGGARGTGTTCAGAAGAKGTGTGGATGTGGCAACTGGGGACATGTTTTAGTGCTGGGTTAATGGTTGGACTCMGTGATCTTAGMGGGCTTTTCCAACYTTAACARTTYTAGGATGCTGTGACTTCAGTCAGGTTTCACGTTGTGAATGACATGACTATCTCTGATGTACATCCTGACTGACATCCCCAGTAATTCTGTCTGCCAGCTTTTTGTACATCACTTCAGTTTCAAATGCTGCCTAATCTTATTTTTCATACATCCCTACTTTAAGTGAGACATTTTATTGGGTTTCTGATKCTTTAAGTGCAGTTTCATTGCCACATGTCAAGTAATTCATCCTTTTTCCGTTAATATCAGCCAATAAATCTTGTCATGCTGCCTTTTAAATACAACACACATAGCTGTGTGTGCCTGAATGACTCAAATTATTCTCTTTATCTGGATTTTCTGTCTACTCATGTGAAATTGGCATTTTACACATCCTCACACGTAGCTAAAATTTTCTGAGATTCAACCCCTTGTTTTAATTTTTTTTTTGAAACTTGCAGTGACCGTGGCAGTCACTTTGCAGTCTGTTAATACCTAATGTCAGGTGCATTTATTTCTCTCTGACTGTATTTTCATTTGACCATAAAGACCAAAGAAATAGTACTAGAATCAATCTAAGATGTTTTTAACCTTGTTTCCCGAGTGTTGCCAGTGGAGGATACTTACATCACCAAGTTTCCAAGAGCAAAAGGGGTAGAGGGTACAGGAGGAGGGTGTGAAAGACGTTTCTATCTGTGACAAGACAAATGCAAGGGGAAGGTGAAGGATAATGAGTTGGTGTCTTATAAAAAATGGGGAAAATGTGACACCACTAATGGGTTKTGTCAGATGCAGTTCTGGACAGCGGAGCTGAGAAGGAATAATTATCCACAACACTTAGCAGTGTSTTGTGAAAGGAATGAAATCACACAGGCACCAAGTCCTGTTGCTGCTGCTCTGGCTGTGGGGGAAGGAAGAACAGCAGTGGGGTCATTCCTGTTCACTGGGTAGGAGAACACCAGAAAGCTGCAGAGCTTCCCAGCCTATTGTGGATTCTCCTATGACACTGAGAGCAAAGTGAGTAGTGGGTGAGAGTTAAATGTGTGCAAGTGTTTCCTTTATTTAGCTTTCTGTTGTGGTTGTTTACTTTTATTATTTGCTTTTTGCATAATTTCTCACAACGTACTTCAGACTAAGTATCAGAAGAAATTAATCTTAAGAAGCTCCACCAAAATACACAAACAATCTTAGATGAAACTGGCATTTGATAAATTTCCTTAATATKAACAAGGTAATTAAGCATTACAATTTGTTCATGTTGGTGACAATTTTCAGTGACACCTTTATAATAGAAAACTAAATACCTGTTTTCCTTAGTAATCTATTTTAACATGTTTGAGGGACAATTTTTGTTTCATTACTTTTGTTATATTTAGTTTTCTAAGAGCTAAGCAGTTCTCCTAAGTGAGAATATAAATTCATAGTAAGAGGATTTTTTTAYTGCTTTTGGTAGGTGTGTTTTGAAAAACAAAGCCACTTACGAGCCTGGAGGGTTTTTGCACGTATTTAGGACAAGCAATAAAAACATACTTAATGATGAAAACAAATAGAATTTGAACAGAATTCTGGACCAAGAAAGTTTTTTAACAACCTTTAATAATTTGTGGGAGAGAAAAGAGAATTGCAGTGGACATTAAGAAAAGCCCAGGGTGACAGAATTTAATGGTTTCCTCTTTGTGTGCCTACCAAAATTGAGGGGCATATTTGAATAGGTGAACTTTTGAATTCCTGAATAGGAGACAAGTTATTTAGAGCCAGTAATAAAATCATTTCCTATATTTTGACAGCTAAAGCTTGTATTTTTATGTGGAAGGCTCTCATGTGCATCCTGTTTGCATGGTGCTGGGTCACTCAGTTGTGAATATTCTCAAACCATTCCTGTTCCTGCCTCTCTGAAGTGTTACCAACCTTGATTTTTCTCTTAMGTCGGGTTCATTTCTACTTTGGAGCAAGCTGATATGGTGTCAGCTCTTATCTCACCCCACTTATGCAGCTCTAGGCCAGACTAGAGACTGAAATCTTTACAACTCACAAGGATATGGCAGACCCATATCATTTTTGGTTAGCATGATCTCAGAGAAATTTGTTTTTTTTCATTTAATGCATTCATTTAAGATATAAGGGAACAATTCATATCTGTAGAAACTTAAAGAAACAAATGTGGAAAATAAAATTGTGTATGGAAAAGCTTTATTAAAAGTTAATGTAGTAGTGAATTCAAACTGTAGTTTCYTTTCCTTTAAATGAGAAATGAATTTAAACTATAATTTCTCTTTCTTTAAATGATAATTTGTTACAGCACTGTATAATATCACAGTATGAGAGAATAATTGTTGTTCATAAATCTAGTGAAATTATTTCCAATTTCAGATCAAGAGGTGGACCTAATTATATGCACATCTTTGCATGGTTCTGGAAAATTTTATCTTGCTCGTTTTGCCTGTAATGAGAATATTTTAAAACAGAGGATGGTTTGAACTGACATCTTAAGAGGATGTAAATCTCATTGAATCTTAATGCTGTCTTTTAAGTCAAAGTCAGTGAAGTTCTTTTAAAAATTTTATTACATCAAAATAAACGTGATATTACTAGACTGTCATGTTAGAATATGAAATTGTCATGTGCCAGTATTAGAAATACGAGGGGTATTGTTTTCCTTACAAAGCAATAAATGTAGCATGCTGCACGTGAGTTTCTTTGTTAAAACAATTCAATCAGAAAAGAGGATTTTTTTCCTCTTCAGTAACGTATTTTATCATAGTTACTTTAAATGCGTGTGTTACATTTGAAATAATTTTGCTTCATTCCTGATCAGTTGAAACACTTTCTCTCCTCTCAATTTCTTGAGGGTTGCAGCTTATAGTAGTGGTTTATTTTTATTTCCTGATTTGAAGCCAGAACTGCAAAATCTAACAAGAGTCTGTTGTGTTAATGATTGCATTATGTTACAGGAGTAGAAAAATAGGGGCATATTTTCCAATGTATTTAACATGATCAGCCCCATAGAAAGGCATTGAGTGGCTGCTGAGCTGATGTTTGGAGCACAGTGCTCTAATCTCAGTTTGGACTCCATTAGCCCCATCTCTGTGTTTGAATTTCCTGATCTGTCTGCATTCCATGAATCACAGGTGCAGTAACATGCTGTAATTCTTGCTTTAACACAAAGAAAAGGCACAATGATTTTGATCAATAGCAGACATCAGATCTTTAAGTACAAAGTAGTGGTCAGTTAAGTCATCCATTGCTCTGGCTATATCAAAGCTGTACTAATTGGGCTATGAAACTTAATTATATCTAACAATTTTAATAGTTGTCAACATCAATTATGACTGTTGCTGCTTGTTTAAAATTATTCACCCAGCTTTCCTTTTAGGATCATGTAATAGGATAAACATTGATAGTAATTGTGAGCAGTTCACAGAGGAAGAAAATGTTTGCATTCTAATTTCSTAATTTCTGTTAATATATTGAAAACAATACCTATATCAAGTTGTTCATAGCATCTTAATACTTTGAAGTTAACTGTGGAAGTTGTCCTTTGAAGAGGTTGGACTAGGTGAGCTCCCAAGTTCCTGTCTACCCTCAATTTTCAAGATTCTGTGAGGAGGACATAATTTTCTTTTTCATTTATTTTTTCCCAAAGGAAGATACCAGGTGATTGAAGGCATACTGTCTCCTGTCARTGATAACTATGGGAAGAAAGGCTTGGTTTCAGCAAGGCACCGGGTAGCGATGGCTAAACTGGCACTGGAAACATCTGACTGGATCCGGGTGGATCCCTGGGAGAGTGAGCAGGAGACATGGACAGAGACAGTAAAAGTATTAAGGTAATTCCATTATCTATTTTCTATCTTTATGAAATTACTGACTGCCAAAAATCTGCCACATCAATGCACGGAACTTGCTCCTCTAAAACACCCAGGCAAGTCAGGATCCCCCACCAGGAATCTTTCATTTGCAAAGCAGACAAGCTTTCCAAGACCTGTGCAATAACCACAGCACTGCCCTAGTGTCCTTGAAGTGGTTGGATGCATGCAAAAAGCCTCTGCAAAATTACGGTTCTGCAGAAAAGGTTCTTGTCTCTTATGTTACCTCTCTTGGGTTTAAGTGTCTAAGCAGGTAATGGAGAGATCATAATCAGAAAGTGAGTGTACAAATGATTCTGTTCTACAGGACCATCTCTGTTCCAGRTTAGCTGTTAGCAGTGTTATGCCTCCAGGTTTTTATCTATTCCCACATCCTTGTAAAGTTTTCCTATTAACTTTAATGGTAAGTTAAACCCAAGCCCATAACTGCTGATGTTTTCTTCAGAATCTCAGAGTTTGATATGGTTTTGTCCTGGGAGGAAAAAATTAAACAGTTTGACCAAAACTTGGTGCAAGGACCTTGAACCATTTGTTTTCCTATATGGTATTAAATGTGTTATGGTGCAGRGCATGAAAACACAAACTTCTTGTGCTATCTGCTCTTTGGAAGAGATGCTRCAGAAGGTAGCTGATACCATTAAACTCAAAGACTCCATGGAAGTCTACAGCAAATGTGCTGTAAGAGCTATCACTGATTCTTCATTTTTATCCCCATTTTCTAGTTTACTTTGTAAGTGGAGACAGGTGTTCAGGGCTCTAAATTGCACCTTCCAACAGCTGCCCTAAAAGCTCTTGTGGCTCTGTGTGAATGCWGTTAAAAGTCAGACCTTATTTTGCAAAAGCATCCATAAGAATTCAGTATATACATGCCAAACAACTCATGGAGCCTTTTAGATCTGATTTTATTTGCTTTACTGAGGGAACACAGGCATCCTGTTGCTCCTTTTGCCCCTTCCCTCCAGGCAGCCGAAAAGGATCAGGGTAGAGATTTTCTGTCTTTGCAGAAAACTCTGTCTTTTCTGTAATCATAATGGTATATCCCAGWGTGAGAAATCACCAAAAGGTCTGTCCTACAGTATTGCCTGGGTATAGGGTATTTGTCCTAAACTTCAGTCAAACTATTTTCCTCCAGAGAAGCAGTCCCAAATCTTACAGATCAGGTAATCCTACTTTGATTTTGCACAGCTCCAACTGAAGTGAGTACTGCTTGCAAGATTTGGTGTGTAAATCATAAATCCACTTCAGAGTTCTTTAGGATAAGAGGTCCAGTAGATAAAATCTATGTGTCATTTTCTGCTCAGGCCAAGTAGTATCAATTTCGTATGAAGAGGCAAACTTCCCATCTGCCAAGAAAGTGAACCTCTAGTTTTATTAGTAAATTCACAAAATGTTAAAATGGCTGCTTGTTAAGGAAAGCAATGAGCTTATATCTTTTTTTTTTTCCACAAATGTTGATGTGCATTAATAAGTTGAACCGTAATATGCTGAATCTTGTCCCTTGAATGGGGAAGCAGCATTCTGATGAAATGAAGGTGTGTTTTACATTGTATTTTAAGTGTCACAGGTGGGAAAAAGGAAGATATAAAAGAGCTGGTTTTAGGGCTCAATCCTTGCTATATATAAASAGGCAATAGTTTATTGTTGAGTTGTTCTTCACATGCTTTTAAAGTAAACCTACAGGTTCTTCCCTCCTCAAAAAAAAAAAAAAGGACTAACTGCTGCCTTTACTATGAGCTCCCTCAGGTAGGAAACATCAGTAACAATAGAAAGAGATTTTCCTATTGCAAGGCAGAGGTAAAAATCATTATTGTACCTAAATGTCTCTTCGTATCAGTATTTTCAGTTGTACACTTAATTGCAGTAGAACATTTTGTTCTGAAACACACGAATGGCCTTTTCCTACAGTACTTGTTTTAACTGAGTGCGATAAAAATGTCACATTTCATCAAAATCTGTAGATTTTGCAGAGGATCCCAAGTAGTTGTGACATAAAAGAATTTTAAGCAGCAAAGCTCATATCCCACTTATGTCAGTGCTATTAAATGAGTATGGAAATTTTGGAGACTATCCCAAGGCTTTTTTTAGAGGGGAGGAGGGAACATAATGGAGCTATTTTCCACTTACCTGTTGTTTGTGACAAGGAAACAGTATTGTCAGTAAGCAAAGAACTACATTCATTCCTCTTGTGCATTTGATTGGCATGCAGCTATMATAGAGAGTAATTAGAAATTGGCAAAGACCTGCTTTTCTCAACTTCTGTTGAGTTGTGCTTGTGATTGAGTTCTGTAGTTATTCAAAGCTTCATACACAGTTGAGAAAACACTTAAGAAACTGGCAGATGGGTTTGTCCTTTTTGCTGTATCTAAAGTAATGTATCCCTCCCATGGACTGCTGAGCAGAGCTGGGCCAGCTCAGATTTTGCAGTTTGTAASGTTAGTCCTGCAATGAGCTCTTTGCTGAGCACTCTGATTTTTGAATCGTGGCCCAAGAATGTCAGACTACAACACACAGTGTACTTGACTATACATAGCAGCAGCCTGTTTACAGCAAGGCATGATTAAAATTAGAAATGTGGGAAGGCACAGAGCAAGCTCCTGGTACCTACTCTCTGCTGCCATATGTCCCTCACCTCTTGGCTGTGCAGTTCCTTTTGCCCATGGCCGAGCATCAGAAATCGCTGGGGTTGCTCTGCAGCCTATCTGGGTGTAGCTTCTTGACACAYGTGCAATTTATTCCTGTGGCTAAAGTATTTGCATGGTTTGAAGAGTGTGCTTTTCAGTCWCTAAACTGGAAATTCCTTCCTTACCAGGTGTTCAAAAGATCAGCTGGGGCTCTGTACATGCACTGCGTTCAGACTGTTCCTTGTAACTCAGAATCTTTGCTGCAGTTGTAAGAGCTGATGGTCACTGTGGCTATAAATGTGCTACATAGAGACTGGAATGGACTTGATTCTCTGTTTGCTTGTCCTGTTTAACCAGGAGCTTGCTTCCTGAAACAATTTGGGTTTGTGCAAATTTGAGCAACGCCTAAGCCTGGCTCAGGATAGTGCAAGGCCGGGACTATTCTAAAAAGACAAAGTGGTTCTGATTGGGAAGGAAAAGGTCACTGCCATGAGGTAGCAATACCAGCATTGCAGGGGTCACCAGGGAGCAGGAGCGGTGAAAGAATAAAGTAACACAAACCTGGAAAAAGTGTCAGAGAGATCTTTGCCTGCCTTCCTGGATCTGATCTCAGTGAAATTAGAAGCACAGCAGATGTCAAAAGTCTTATGAGAATTTTTAGATTCTCAGAGTTTTGATTCTTTTAATTAAAATGAAAGGGAAAACAGCAAGGTACAAATTCAGGGGACATGTTTTTATGGAGAAGAGGAGGAGAGAGAATGAGAATGTCTCCTCCTGAAAACTGAGCACATGTTATAAAAACACAGTCATGAGAGGTTGTTTTTAGTGAAGAAGTTACAGCTAGTGATCGAAGTGAGAATGTCCTGTTTCAGGCAAAAAACCTCCACCTCCACTATGTTTTAAATGTAGTAACTACCAAAATTGCCATAATGGTAGAATTTCRAAAAGTATTTACAAACCAGGGTACCATTAAGGAGACTGCTTGTGAATTCCACAAAATGTAACTACATTGATACTAATCTCATGGCAGAACAAATTTGCCAAATTCTTAACAAATGGTATTCAAATCCAAAGTGCATAAAAGTAGACCCTGTTCTTGAATGGGAAAGTGCTAGGTAATCGCTTTGTTGCATCTCTGAGAGGATTACCTCACACAGAAGCCTTTATTTTAAATGCAGGCACCATTATAATGAATCGCTCCGAGTGTTCCAGTCCAAGAMGGAGTTCATGAGAAACAAACATCTCACAGAAAGGTCTGCGAGGGATTCCCTTTCTTGCCAGGAGCCAGGTTGGTTTGTAACTGTGAACATGATGCTGTGTTTAGCAGTAAAAACAGTACAGCTTTGACCATAGGAGCTGGTGAGTTCTGAGGGTTGGAGCTGCCTGCCAAAACCAAGCCATGCCAAATACCAACATACCTGCCGGGGCAGTTGTTTTGTAACAGCTCCACACAGATAGGAGACCTTGGAGTTGCATGAATTCTTGGGTTTTATAAGCATCTCTGTAGCTGTGTCAGAGATGTATGTTGTGGCCTTGCTTGTTTTGCAAAGCACAGAATATATGAATAACAAATGTCAAAAATACAGCGATGACTTAGAATTTTCATTCTAGTACTAGACAGTGGACAAAGTGTGTGGATAGCAGAGCAGTGATGCTGATACGTTGATGTTTGCTGCCTTTCTGGCCAGAAAAGCTCCTGTTGGCAGTAGAAGCACGGCAGGCTCTGGAAGCAATGTCAGTTTTCAGTTTCCTATCTAATCATACTCCCCAGCCCTATGACTGGCTGGGATACTGCTGGATTTTTGATACATTGCCTTTTCCTTCAGTATTGTAGCATCTCTTGGACATGAATAATACATTTCAGTTGTTCCTGRTTGTTGATGAGTTGTATCTTTACAGCTGGTAGAGGAAAGAAATTATGCTTTTCATGCATCATTGCTGGAACGTTTCTTACTTTCTGAATCTCTCATTTAAGGTGTTGGTACAAGAATTGCAGATATGCAAACCATCAAATAAGTGAAAAGTGGAGGCAATACCTCCATCCTTCCCCTTCATTTCACATGAATACAAGGCTGTGAAAATAYCTGGTCAATGTTTGTGCAATACTCAGATTGAATAATGATGAATGCTATAGAAAAAGTTTGAGGAAAGAGAAAATTCTGTGCTGGGGCTTAGGACAGCAAACAAGAAATATTGAAAATAAAGAAAAGCAGGGCAGGATGGGGTGGAGTAGCCAGGTTCCACCAAGMCTAATCTTTGTGCTAAAATAATTCTTTTTATTTGCTTCTTCCCACCTTTGGCTTGCTTRAGTGGAGGAAGAGTTCTCCTATAGAAATTACTGTGTACAGATAATATTCAATATTCAAGTCATGATGAAGTAGGTAATAAAGTGGTTGTGACCAGATCCATAAAAACCTAAACTGAATATTTCTTGCAACCTTCTGAAAAAAAAGCCTGGAGTAAAGGTAAATGATTTAAAAAAAAATAGATTTAAAAAAAAAATTTAAACATGATGAGTTAAAATCAATCTTAAGTATAAATTTCCTARAAGACTGAGAAAGGATAAGACATCTCTTATTTCCTTTTGTCTTTCCAGTTCTACCAGAATTAAAGCTGCTCTGTGGGGCTGATTTTCTACAGACATTTAAGACACCCAATCTCTGGAAGGAAGAAGACATCAAAGAAATAGTGGAAAAGTTTGGTTTGGTCTGTATTAGCCGGGCTGGCTCTGATCCATCTCAGTATATCAAGGAATCAGACCTTTTAACTAAATACCAGCACAATATTTTTCTGGTGAAGGAGTGGATTCAGAATGAAATCAGTGCAACGCAGATACGCTCTGCCTTGTGCAGAGGATTGAGTGTGAAATATCTCATACCAGACTCTGTTATTGCCTACATTGCACACCACAATATCTACACAGAAGAGAGCGAGCGCAAGAACGAAGGGAACATGCTTCAGCCTCTCAAGCTGCATAACACACCAATAAAACCTCTGAACGACTGATTTTTGCAGTGTGTGACATGTCAGATCAGGAGTTTTTTTCATGTAAATTTCTTGATAGTTATTAATGAATGGAAAGTACRTCAGTCCAGAATTGTGTGGTGTTTTAAATCCATGAATCTGTATGGTAGTGCTCAATCAAATTGGGATGCTCAGCTGCATAGGTTAAAATATGTAAAGRACAGCTTTCTTGTGAAAATAAAAGAACAGAGATCTTCACAATAAATGTTCTTCAGTAATACTTAAGGGTCAAACATAGTAGTTTGCTAACTTATAATTCTGTAATCTCTACTCTTCTGAAACAGCAAAATATAACGAACGTCAACTTTAGAGAGAGAAAAAGAGAGTGATTTTTGATTAGGGGTAAATTTTGACTTCATAAGACCCTGAATATTTTTTTTATTTTTGGCAGTTTGGCCAAGAGATGGAAATTAATCTTGTTTCATGCAAGCACTTGAAAATGCATGTTCTACTTCTGCCACTTCTCAGCCTGTGAGTTCTGAAATGACACAGTCCTCATTCCCCCATTTGAAGTGGGTTTCTTTGCTTCTCTGATCCAGAGTCTTCTATGACAGCAAGTTATTGCCAAGGCCCCAGAGTAAATATATCCAATAGGGACTTCAGCTGTACCRTAAGAGGCTCAGGATTCAGGCTGTAATGTTAGCTAGAACAATCTGTTGTCTTCTGTGCTGGTTGCCTGTTAYGCTGACTCAGTGTATCTCATTTCTGACAGAAGACATTTTCAAAGATAGAACTCTATAAAGTGCTGTTTCTGTGTTTCAAAGTTGCTTAAATGAGCTGCAAGCATTCATTCGGTTGTGATGTAGCAATTGTACAATACACAAAGCTCCTCAGTCCTTCTTAATACAAGTTTCACCTAACTGCTCCTTCTTAAAGCCTCAGCTGGCCAAACACCTTCCACTGGTGGTTCTCTGGAATAATGGAGCTTGTGGAACAAGTTAAAGGAATACTAGACACTTTCACTGAAAGAGTCTGTGTGATTGTTTGCTTGAAAGAAGATATAAAGTAGCTGAAARAAATTCTAGAAAGAAGAATTTACCTCAAAAACCACACAAGATAAGCATTTGTATAGCCTTGGCTAATACCCTAAACTAAAGCTGTTTGAAAGGGATTTTTTTCTGAGTGGCATGAAAAATGAAGAGTAATGTGGTTAAAATGGATCTCCCATACAGAAGTTCTATGAAAGGTGAATATTCCATTCATTTGAAATCAAGTCATCCTGCTGTCATTAGRAATCTCAGCAGTTCAGCCTTGTGGAAGGATTTAAAGGCAGCACTTCAACAATAATCGGATTAGAAGGACTTGCATAGCTCCATGGTCTAAAAAAGAGATAAAAGAAACCAGAGTTCAAACTTGCCACAAAGAAAGGCACTGAGTTGTGTGGTGCAGAATCAACCCACAGCTCGGAGCCTTTGATTCTGACAATCACCTGAAGTAGGGATGCCTGCAGACTTCAATGGGTACTGGAAAATGGTCAGCAATGACAATTTTGAGGAGTATCTGAAAGCACTGGGTAAGGTTCCCTTTGTACTTCTTGAATAAATAATCAATAAGTGCCACCTGTCTTATTCTTTACATGAACCTATTTTTTCTTGTACAGTCATAAGTCATTTTTGTGAGAAATATATTTTTCAGAAATGCAGTTTAAGAATTGCCTTAAGCAAAATTGTTTTGCCTTAAGCAGCTTCTACTTTTTACCATCTTGAAGCTTGTATTAACAGAGATTTCACTGCATAGCTTGAAGAGGTAAGTGGCAGATTCCAAATGTTCAAAAACCTCTGCAATTTAAAAAGCAGTAGAATTTTTTTATATTTAATAAAGATTCAATTCATTACTTAATGCAATTTTCTGTATTTGTATTTGATGTTGTCTTAATATTTCTATAGAAATAGTGAAGGCYTTATTAACTGTCAAATACAAATGGTATTTTTTTAAGATTCCACATAGTCAGAAAATTGAAACATAAAGTTATTAAAGTTATAAGAATTGGGTTACAGACTTTTTCTGTATGAGAAGGCTAATTTGAAAAATTTGGACATTTATTTATCTTTGTTCGTTTTAGTTCTCCGTAGAAGCGATAAAATTCTTTTTGTGGAAGACTTTTCTGGATGAAAATAATTCRTTTTCTTTTTCAGATGTAAATGTTGCTGTAAGAAAAATAGCAAACTTGCTAAAGCCTGACAAAGAAATCCTTCAGAACGGGGATCATATGATCATTAAAACACTAAGCACTTTTAGAAACTACATCATGGAATTTGATGTGGGAAAGGAGTTTGAGGAGGATTTATCTGGGGTGGATGATCGCAAGTGCATGGTAAGAAGTAGAACTGTAACAATGGACAAAAAGAAATATTGATAATCTGAGGCCTTTCACAGAACACATCTTTTAACCATCCTGTGTAATTATTCCTCAAATTATTTCTGTACTTCTCAGTTTGCCAAGATGTACCTTGAACATGCCTTTCTATTAAAGGAATGCTAATTTTAATCAGGAGCACAAAGCAATTTAATCAATCAGTGAATAATAACCTCAGTGAAGCTGTGCTCATTTATACTGGGATATTTGTTAGTCAGAAAGACATCTAGGGTCACTTCCAGAACCTCTTTAATGAGTAAGGTTTTACAATAGAGGAAATCCACTGATTGCAGGGTCAGGCACTATTCCCTGTGTAAGAATGGCCAAGTGCTTAAAAATTGCCTGGGTGTATTTATTAGAGCACACACTTAATTAGCCCACTGGAACAAATCTTACTGAAATGAATAATCAAACACTGAGGACTTTGTTTTACGACAGCTCTGTCTTGTGAGCTCTTTCTGCTTATTAACTTAGGACTGATTATCAATTTACAGGGAGAAAAATTGAGAATAGCAAGTTTCACCTATTAGTTTGATAACACGGCACTGGAAATATTCTACAGTGAGGAAGYTGACAAATGAAAGAAAATTATCTCAGGAAGGACTCTAGAGGAGAAATCTCATAAAAGAGAGCTATTACATTTCCATTCTTCACAAGATAATCCTATTTAAAACCAATACTTTTCTGTAGCATTAAGATAGGTGAATTTGCTTTTGCTCTGGTCATGGTAGGAAAAGGAAAGATTATGAAGACCAGAGAAAAAGAAAGGTTGGCTACTGAGTGCCTCAACTGATCCCTCTGTAGTCCTTGTTACAAAGGGTACACGTTTGATGAGAGTGAAGAATACAAAATTCACAGAAGGGAGGAGCAGGTGCATTTGTCTGTAGGAAAGTGCCCCAATAGCATAATGTGGTTGTGACTCCTGGAATGCTCTTAATCAGGATTTTGAGGTCCARATGCACTCAACAGTTGTGAGGCCAAGAAAATATTTAAGACTGAGGTGATTAAATTACCATCAAAGATAGCAWCGTTCAAACCATCTGCTAAAAAGGTTTATGTGTGCACAGAACTGTCCCTGTCTAAGCATTATCTGTACTTAAAACCCATTAAACTCGCATCTAAAGGAGATCTAAATTATCCTCTGCATGTTGGAAAGACTTAATATTTCATTGTTTTTAACAAGCCAGAATTCTCTGCTCTGTTTTGCTAAATTGAGTGATAKGGAAGGAAGGATTCAAAATGTTAAACCAGAAAGAAGAAACTAGAGAGATGATAGTCACTACAACAGCTGTTTGATTTGGAGTAGAACCCAGTTCAGCCTACTTTCAAAGGTTATTCAAACATTTATCTATTTACTGTTTAGTGGAAAATGCTTATTCAGCCTTGGCAGCAGAAGGTATCAGCACCTTCTGGCCTGTTACAAACAAACAAGCAACAAAAGTAATCGAGAAACCAGGGGTAATCACTAACCCTCACTTTTTTTTTGTTAATGATGATGTAATTCAGGGATGTAATTCCCCAAAAATCCTAGAGATCTCCATGTCTTCTTATGGTCTCCAGCTGTAGCTGGACAGTTCAGGTTACTGACCACTGGTTCTCTATTTGCCTTGTAGCAACATATCACACTTTATGGTTCAATTTTCTTATTAAAGATTTCTACAYGAGACCTCTGTTTTGTCAAAGGCAAAACAGTACAAGAAGCCATCKTTCTGAAGTCGCCTCAGTCCAAATCTGATAACTATAATGTCTGGCAAAATTTGCAGTTGTTAAGMAGCAAAATAACTTCAACAGGGCAGAAGGAGTTTTCTGAGAAAAGTCMTGGAGGTTACAAGAGATAATGGACCACTCCTTGAGTGATGTTATGGAGAAAACTACCATAAAAGCAAAGGTTGAATATCATTCTTGGCGTTCCATTTGTTCAWGTGGAGCTTGTGGAACTGCATGCCATAAATGGCTTAATCATTAATAGTCAGCCTGTGTAATGAGAGAGATTGTGAATCAATTATTGTTATTTATATTGTGGACTGAGCAGACCACTGGGCAARTTTTATCCAAGTAGCTCAATGTATGAGCAGTACAAAGTAACATGGATAAGACAAATTACACATTAAACATTAATCTATACAGCAGAGCAATCATCAGGAGACTAGCAAAAATAACCTTAGAAGTAATTCATCCTGTAAGCTGAGATTGTTTTTTCTTTTAAYGAAGAATATATCATCTAGCTACAGTTAACATATCTGTAAAAATAATACTAGCACGGTGAACAGGTTAGGTCTTGTGTGTGATTTACTGGAATTGTGTTCTCCTTTCAGTTGTAAAACATATCCTTGAGTCAGTCAGGGTAGAGTGTAGCTACAGTAATTCCAAATCAATACTGTCCATGAGGAGTAAAGGCTAAAAAGTTTTGCTGATACTTATTTTAGAAGTTGAAGTTTTAACATTAGGACCTTGATAGTCTTGTGATAATATAAGCCCTCCCCTGGATTTCTGTTAGGTTTTTTTCATTTCTATCGTTGGTCACTCCTGGAAGCCTGTCTGAACTTTCTGGATCAGTGAGTCAATTGAGTAGGATAAACCTTAGCAATTTCAATTTGTCCTTTTTCTGACCCTCAGCTGTGGCTTTCTTGCATGCATATGCCTTTGGGTGACTGTTTCCTGCAGGGATAGAGTGAAGAGCGGTTGATGACATCAGGTCCTGTATGGTGTTGTTTCTTTTGGGAAGTGAAAATTTGCTACTTTGGAAACCCTAAAGCTCTGCTAGTTTAGTTCAAGATGCAGTTTCTGTGTTCTGCAAAACYGGAGATGGGGATAGTTGACCACAGAAGAGTGATCATAAATGACAGTTGGCATCAATGATCCTCCAGCTTTCCACCCAGGATTTCATCTCCTAGATAAAAGTTAAATTACAGTTTCTCTGTTCACTAGGCAATTTTGTGAAAGATATCTTTCTGCAAGTTCAATCATACTYAACTACTCAGGATTGTTAAAAGCTTGGCAGTTTCAAGTACAAGTGTAAAATGAAAGTTTACATCTTCAGGAACATCTTTCATTCTTTGCAAATGTTCCAAGGTGTGTATTAGATGGTGTAAAAATGTTTAGAACACATTAATTTGTGTTACATTTTTTCTCACATGGTGATTGAATCAGACCATGATGTTAAGTTTCTACTACTTTGAAGAGTTTGTTCATGGTTTTAATTGGCAACATGTCAGATGGAGAACGTATCAAGACAGAAATTTAAAGTTAAATTGATAGCTCTGGCTTTGGTATTTCTCAAAATGAGTCTTTGATCCTGCTGTCTTAATTCTCAGTGAAGCTCCAGTCTCATCATGAAATTGCCTCCATTTTAAAGATAGTTTTTTAAATCTCAAGTTTTGATTAATTTACCATCTCAGGTATTGCTTTAAGCATGAAGTTCTGTTTCATGTATATAAACATTAACATGAAAAAAATTTACTGTGCATGCAAGGGGAAGACCTTATTGAARTAACAWTYGTTACAAAATCATCTCTGAAAGTATCTCATTCATCAGCACATAGTTGTGTTTCCCTGTTTCATTTTCAGTAATAACCAGTGAAGCTGATGAAACGTTTACAATGTGAAATATATACCAGCACACAAGAACAAGGCACATAGGCCCTCTGTATTTTCAAKGTTTTTAAATTAGTATTTRGTAAAGKAATTAYGATAAAGTTAACTRRAAAACCTTAAAAGGCTGAAACAAAGGCTGGAGTTTCCCATTGCAAGTCTTTGCATCCAATGAATCAAAGCAGATTGAGAAYTGGATAGCTCAGATGGAAAAGTTACTTTCTTAAAATGTTTGTTTTTCTAATCATTTTGCTGCTAAAGTCAGAGAARACTTTTGCATTATAATTATTCTCTKCTGTTCAGGCATTTGAAAGACTGAMTTGCTTTATCTTACACTATGYAGAMTTAATCTCTTTYGRCAGAGACTAAGGGCAAGTGATCTGTTAAAAAATCAAGAAAGAGTTTTTGTTCTAAATATGGAGCAGCAGAATTTCTTAGATAACTGAAAACAGTGTTAGTTGTGTTATAACTGAATCTTTWTCCAGTCATGTGAGAGGTGCTCTGGTAACTCAGAACCTTGTGCTCTCTGTTACAGTMATTTTCTTCTGCCATTGAAGCAGGAAATGAAATGACAATGGCAGGGAACTGGGAAATAGAGAAAACTGCAAGAATTTTAAACTGAATGTGGGAAATAATACCTCTTAACCATTTARTTATCAAAAACTGAATACCAGTGGAATATAACCATAAATAAGTTATCAAGTGGGTATTTWGGGTTCCTTTACTGGAACTAATAYAGCTTCTAGTCACAGGTAAGAYTTGCTGGGGTGAGGRGGATTTGGGAGTTGTAGAATTCACTCATCAGGTCTRTCATACATTTTACMATRTGAAGTGTCTTCCTGCAAATAGAGKCAATTAATGYTGAAAACAGCCAYMCAAGGACTRTTCACAGACACCTGACTGGCCCTTCAGTTACATGTGCCAAATCTTACTCGAAGGGAAAGAAGTTGTTGAAAACCGATCATGACTCTGTTTTAATTAACAAACGTGCCTAATGTGACACTGATTCCTCTCAAGTTTGTATTCAGGAAAAATGCAATGGAGTTAGTTGTTCAGGACATAATTTGATTTCTACCACTGCAAGGTCAGAATAAAGCCCTGTTACAAAATCACATGGCTCGTGAAGCTTATTTAGCTATTCAGGCAGGTTCCTCTGTTACACAAATGGAAATCACAGCTGTTAATCTAGTTCAGAGCAGGGTTTGGAATTAAGACTTTGCCTGAGAAAAACARCAACCAACAAGCAGCATTCCAAAATATGGAATTGCAGGAGGGATCTCCCACAGGGCGAGAGATAGAAAATAAATTGTGCCTGTCTAGTAAGATGCAAGATCAGCAATATAGCTTTACTTGATCCCTCTGATTTA